CAGTTTCATGGTTAAGGTAGTTGAGTGCTGCCAGGAGACAGGATACAATCCAAGTCCCTGCCACAGAATTCGTGTATGATGCAAACAAGTCACTTATAGCCAACTAAATGGTCATTAAGTATGCATTTCACATTTTTTGGGTGCTTAGCTTAGCACCTTCAGGTTTGTTTTGCTGAAGGGCTGAGCACTTAAAGATGCAGTAGAAGTTATACTTTCAGCCCATTCCCTCTTCTAAAATGCTCAGTCACTGGGATTGTTGTCACTATATATTTCCAATTGGGCACTTAAAGTTGGCTTTTCCCCCTGTGCCTCAATTTCTAGATAACCTCCTTTGAAAGCAGTGTTTGGAAAATATGGAGAGTTTATGAAAGTATAGGAAAGCACTCCAGGAGCACCCAAAAACGTTCACAAGATGATGAATATCTCTCCTTTAGAGCAGAGCTTCCATGGCTGTGGAATACATTGGTTTGGCCCTCAAGAGGGTCACAACTAACCAAAGACTTTTCAGAACCTGCTCAGTACTGAGAAATCCAGAATAGAACAGGCCATGAAGAACATAAGGCAAAAGACAAGAGAAAGATGAGACAAAAGAGAAGTTAATACAAATGCTTTACATTGTGGTTCTGGATTAACTAACTTGCTTATTGGAAATCAGCTAATTTATAGCTAATCATCATGAGTGTCCTTTAAACTTTCTGTATTGAAAGATTAAAAAAACAATCAAATTATTAATTGTTACCACCATGTGTGTCATCTGGAACACAGAAACCTACTTATGACTAGCAGTAGTAACATATCTTCACCTTTTAACAGAACCTCACCACCTATCTGAGAACCATTTGAAATCGATATAGTCTCTAATGCCTCTTATTTTTAGCAGATGTGCAAATCAACTGAGATTTTATGAAGAATATGCAGGCAAAACCTATGCTGTAATGGCATAAAATTTTAACGTAGTCATAAAGAATTTAGGACGAACTACTTAATTACCTCAAATCCAGGCATTAGTAAATTAAAATGTAAATAGGTAAGATGATTGTGAATGCATATGTATTCCAAATCTGTTAAGATTTTGAAGCAACCTTAATTTTACCTGTCGGGCAGCTGTTGAAGAGGAAACTGAAATGTGTGCTGTGTATCATATACACTGCTCATTTCCAAATTGCTCACCACACCTCTACCTGGCAAAAAGCCGGCATGATTCCTAAATAATCTAGAGTACAATTTATGAAACACCTTTTGTATTACGCTGCATGACACTGGCAAAGCCCCAGGAGTTTGAAACTGGCTGCTACCCAACAGGAGTTGTGCAGGAGGAAAAGGGGGGGCTGACCAACCTGGTCTCTTGTGCATGGTAGCATGAACTGGCCTCCTTCCACACACTTCCTCCAGACCAGCCTCCACCTGCACTTAGCTGCTGGTCTGTGGTCGTTTCACTGGTTGCAAGTAGGAAAAAAGTACATATTGGAAGAGTAAAATAGTGATAGAGTGAGTAAAGATGTTGTGTACAGACTGCCTTTTGAGGGGAATCTGGAAGACAGTTTGAGGATTAGATTCAGCCTGGATGCAGTTTTAAAATAAAAGAGGACATCATCTTAAGCATGAAGGACACTGTACGCAAAACCAGATCAGGCAGGTTTGTGTACCATATGTATCTGGAAAGGCTGTTCAGCCCAACAGCTACTTGCAGAACCTGGATTATCCCTGTAAACTGTGGCAAGTCATGCCAGCCTATGGAGATCAGAGGAGTCTTAGAAGGGAGGACAGGATGGATAGAGGTGGACAATGGTAGCTGTTAAACCATAGCTGGTCTGGATAAAAAGTGTCAGGGAAAAAAGTGTGGGAAAGAAGTTATTTGAGTTTCTGCTGGTATTGATTTTCAAATATTGCTATGAAACATCAAGATGCTTTGCCACAGCCTAAAAAAAACTTGTCTAGGAAGTGACTTCTAGAATTGCTTATTTCCTTATAACCCAGATGGCAATAACTGTCAGCGATGATTCCATATTCTCATCTATAGTACATATCAGCAATGTCTTTCCAATTTGTCTCTCCATTGGCCTGTCGGTCTTTTTACATCAATGATATAAACTGATGAGTTATCTATCTGAATAGCAGTGGGGGGAAAGAAAAAAAACACCAAAACCAAACCAAACCGACCAAAAAACCCCAACCAAGAACTCAGTTGCAACTAAATTTCAGAGGTGGAATTCAGACAGCTGTTACAGAATCATAGAATCATAGAATGGTCTGGGTTGAAAGGAATCTTTAAAGACAATTTAGTCCAATCCCTCTGTGATTGGAAGGGACATCTACACTAGATCAGGTTGCTGAAAGCCCCATCCAACCTGGCCTTAAGTACTTCCAGAGAGGTGTCATCCACAACATCTCTGGGCAACCTGTTCCAGTGCCTCACCACCCTCTCCAGGAAGAACTTCTTCCTGATATCCAATCTAAACCTCCCCACTTTCAATTTAAACCAGTTACCCCTTGTCCTGTCACTACAAGCCCTTGTAAAAAGTCCCCCCAAAAGCTTTCCTGTAGGCCCCCTTTAGGTACTGGAAGGTGCTGTAAGGAGCTGTAAGGTGCTCCATGGAGCCTTCTCTTCTCCAGGCTG